GTATGTATGTATGTACGTATGCGTGTATGTGTGTATGTATGTATGTATGTATGTATATAAATACATATACATATTCATTCTCATATATGTATATATACATACATATATATATATGTGTGTGTGTATATGAAAATAGATGCGTACAATATAGCAGCTTGAAAGTAAGTCAAACCATATCTCGAGGTTCCTTTAATGATAGTTCTACTACAATATGCCACAGAACCGGGCCCCCCCCATCTTTATGAGGATGCTTATGATGACCCCTACACTTATGGTGTAGGTCCTACAACCCTAAACCCCTAAACCCTAAAACCCACAAGCCCTACACCCTGAAGCCTTGAATAAAGCCCTATAGGCCCTAAAGCCCTAAACCCCCAAAGCCCTAAATAAAGCCCTAAACCTCAAGACCCTAAAGCCCTAAACCTTACAAGCCTTTCAGTCCCAGACCTGTACCAAACCCGACAGGTCCAGACTTTAACCCATGAGCCTAGGTTTAGGGATTTAGGGTTTAAGGTTTAGGGTTTAGGGCCATAGGCCTTAAACTCCATAAAACCTCCCCAGCCGCGCATTTTTTCAGCACTTCGCAGGTGCTAAGGCCAGATCAGAGGCTCGACGATTGCGGCCTCTACGACGGCTCCCAGGTGACTCGGTCACCTTTGGGGCCGTGGTTTGGTAGCTAGAATAGGTTTTCATTATAAAGGGTCTTTGTTGAGGGTTATGGGTAATACTGGCTTTTTGTTGTAAGGTTTGCAAAAAAAATAGGGGGCCTTATCATTTTGAGCAGCGTTGTAAAAGGGCTTGTAAACTGTAAATAAATAAATATACAATAAATAAATAAATATATATATATATACTAAGAGCCCCCATGGGCACTTCAGTATCTGCAGGGACGTGGTTTTATCCGGTTTGATTATGGGCCCTGAATTGGTTGAAATGTGGGTTTTGATGTCTAATCTGGCGTATTTTATATAAGGGCTGCCCTAAGGGTTTAAGCCACTAACCCTGAACCCTAAACCCTAAAGCCCTAAACCCGTAAACCCCTAAACCCCGAAACCCCGAAACCCTAACCCCTAAACCCCTAAACCCCTAAACCCTGAACCCTGAACCATTAGCCATTAACCGTTACCTCCTGGGCTGATGTCGCTAACTCGAGGGATTCGGGCTTTAGGGGTTTAGGGTTTTACGGTTAGGGTTTAGGGTTTTAGGGGTCTTAGGGGTTTTAGGGTTGGGTTTTCTGGGTTTAGCGTTTAGGGTTTGGGGTTTAGGTTTTGTAGGGTTTGGGGTTTAGGGTAATAGTAAATAGTAAGAAGAGGAACAATAACAGCAATAATAAGGATCCCCTTTTCTCTGCTGTCCAGTTTCAATGCTAAGGGAAGCCTGAAGGAACATGGGCATAAGCCTACTACTGACCTAGTGAAATGCGGACCCACAGCCCTGCACAGTACTCAAACCGAAACCGAAAACTCGAATCATTGAAACCCCTAAACCCCAACCCCTTTCGGAGAGGGCAAATCTTCGCCCGGAGCCGGAGCATGGCAGGTGTTAGGCTCTCCGATCAAGCAGTACAACTGCCTGTTTCCCTAAATAAACCCTAAAGCCTAAACCCAAAACCCTAAACACTAAAACCCAAAACCCTAAACACTAAAACCCAAAACCCAAAAACCCTAAAACAGCTTTACATACGCCATGCATTCATTGTAGCCTGGGTCTTCTCAGACGAGTGAGGCGCCTATTTTCGAGAACCCGCTGCCATGTCACAGCAGATCAGTCTCTTAGGGTTTAGGGTTTAGGGTTTCGTGGTGAAGTGGCGCTTCCATGCCAAATCCCGGACGGCCACCAACCGACTGCCGTCAGAGTTCGAACGAGTAAAAATTGACTTTGTGCATGGAGTTCTTGCTGCCCGAAGCCCTACACGTATGACGTGCCTGAAAATGGCTCGATGAATGTCTCGGCTTCTTAGGTTCTAAGATGTTGATTCACTGTAACTTGTTTAACTTCCAGCCAGGCTTTCCGTTCCCGCACGACCTCGGCCATATGTATGTATGTATGTATGTATGTATGTATGTGTTTATATATATATACATATGTGCATATATACACATGTTCATACTTTAATGTGCTGGAAGCTCAGGTAATTGCCGTCCGACATCCGGAGCACTGCTGGCATCAATTCGGAGATCTCTCCAAATTTCGGAAAGCTTCGTTGGGATGCTCATTAGCATAACATAGGGGCCTAAAAATAAGTGCCAGTATTATTCCTCAGTGTTCTGTAGATTCCTTACTATAAATTACAGTATAATGCACCCATCAAAGCCTATTCTAATCATTAAAGCCCTTGTCTACTTCCTCATAGAACCCTTACAGTATCCCTTATAGTAGCCCTTTAAAGGACCACTCTTCTCATTATTGTAACATTGTAGGCATTTCACGGAGCCTCACGGAGGCTCTTACGGGGGTTTCTAAAGCCGTCTGAATTTAGGGTTCAGGGTTCAGAGTTCAAGGCATTTCTGTGTTTTCTACAAAGGGCTTCTTTCAGTGAAAATGAGTGCAAGGGGGCTTTTATTGGGGTCCTTACAATGAGTACACCCGAAACCCTAAACCCCTACACCCTGTAGGGTGTTGCTGGCTGGAGGGCCCTTAGCCGCGCGGCATCAGTGCCATTTGATTGCGCTGGAGGGTTGAATAATGCCTGTGAGATAGCTGAGAGAGAAACTGCATGAATGTATGTATGCATGCACGTAGGTATGTATGTATGTATGTACGTACGTACGTAATTACGTATGTACGTAGGTAGGTAGGTAGGTAGGTAGGTAGGTAGGTAGGCATGCTGGCAGGCAGGCATGGATGTATGTATGTATGTATGTATGTACCTGGAACCCTAAACCCCTGTAGAAAACCAAGCGCACTCACTCTGCATCCAAAACGTGAGCGTTTGGCCAAACTACTGTTTTTTAGAGGGCCACGGCTTCAGGGTTGGGGGGCTTCAGGGGTTCAGGGCTTCAGGGCTGCGGGTGTTCCGGGTTGCGGGCTTCTGGGTTTTGACGTTTGCGAGATTGCTGCCCTTGAGCATTTCTCGAGATCACCAGTGCAACAAGCCAAAAGAATCACTCATGAAGCAACACAGCCCCGGTAAACCGTACACTTTGAAGGATTCACCAAGCCCTGTGTTCCCCGCTTCCCCCTCTGTGCCGATGTTTTGGCGCGCTGTCGGACGATGTCTCGAGGAGGAGCGAACCTGGGCAGGGTTTGGGGTTTTGAGGGTGTAGTTAAGCTATTGGCTTTATAGGGTTCCGGCAGTTTGTTGGATTTGGGGTTGTATGCAAAAGAATAATTTCGATCAACCCGTGTCGAAAAGATTAAATGAAAACTGCAGCTCAAATAAAGCTACGTGCCGCAAAGTCGCTCATGCCAACATGCTCAGATCCATCATCTGAAAAGCATCTTTATCAAGAGACGTTTTCAGGAAGAAAATGTATCGCTGTAATGTCTTCAATGCCACGGCTCGTGGGCTCACGCGTCGACTGACGCGAGCCGTTTTCCCAACAAAGTCCTCAGACATAAATGTGGCCTCAGCCAGCGGGTTGACAGCAAAGCCGTCACGCAACCATTCCTGATAGACACGCAAAAAAACGTGATTCAGGTAGTGGATTTTCGGGCGTAGCTTGAACAGGCACAATGATCGATCGTAGCACTTCTGCACGAGTGCCGAATACCGCATGAGAAAAGCGTGGCCACTTTGGAAGACAGCTTCCGAGTGTTCAGAGGACATGAAGTACTCTGCTCGCAGGCATGTTGAGATCACCCGGCCCATTGCTTTTGCAGCTGCCAAAATCTCCTGCAAGATGTCGTCGCGCCGAACCGCTGCTTGAGAACTCGGGAGTTCCAATAGGTGAAGGAGGAACTTCGTGATCACCGCTGTATCCATGTTTTTCGACCACTTTCCCTCAGGGTACTCCCTTGTGCCGTTATATCCCAATAAATCTTTGGTAAAGCGACCACAATGGAGCTTGCTCTTTGAGGTGTGCAGCCATGTTTTCAGGACGGCATTCAAGGCATTGAGGTCGCGATCCACACCCCCCAACCCAAACAGGACCTTGATGGAGTACACCAATGCACTCGCAGTGAAATCCTGGCCTACACCAGCATGCCAAACATGAAAAAAATCTGCTCGGAAAAATGATGCGGGTGTGTCGCCCGCATCCACCAACATGTGTTGCAGCAGTGCACCTCCGCTGCCCGTCCACGGCAGCGGGTTGTTGAGTCCGCCCGTCTGAACCCAAGCAGGCCCCGTGAAGCCCAGATGCTCGAAGGGAATATGAATACGGTCCTCCGGCGATTCGTAACCAGCATTACAAAGCCAGCAACACCCTGTCTGAACGCTCTTTGAAGCGAAGCCCTTACGAACATTATGAAACGATCTGACACTCTTTGCGACCTTCTTCACGAAAGGAGAGTCCGCAGTGAAACCCAGAATCAGGATGCGCCAGGTGCTCCCTTGGGCATGAAAACCATGCTCAAAGAGCGACCGCAATTCTCGACCCCAAATTTCCATGAGATCATCGAATATTTGTGCATCATCCTTCGCCACCAAGCTGCTGACAACAGAAAACAAGAACCGCGAGGCCCCGGAATTCCCTTGCAAGTTGATACCAAGCTCGATTTCAGCTTCTGCTGGTCGCTTCGAACTTAAGTCAACAGACCTCTTCCTCGACCCACTACCAAGGACAGGAAACATAGATAAGATCTCGATGGGATCCTTCTTGTACCCTCTGCCCCCATCACCATGCAAGTAGTACGGGATGAGTTTCTGATAATCAAGATTGCCAGGGTTTTGGAAAACTTCGTGTTGAGGGTGCAGTGCTCGAAACTTCGTCCAAAACAAAGAAAGTGATTCAGATGCTAAGTGAACAGGCAGCCCCAATACTCGATGAAAGTAGCCTTGCTCGCTCATAGCTTCCAGCAGGGCCTTGGGCTGTATGAAAGGGTACTGTAGGATCCTGCCAGCCTGCTGCCAGCTAAAGTTAAAAGGCAAACCCAGCCCATGTTTCTGCAGCAAGTTGTAGAGGGGACCGTCAGCGTTAGACAACTGAATCTTTGCAATCTTGGCCAACAGCTCGCAAGGATCTCTCTTCAGAGCCGTGCGGGCATCCTCGACGAGATCTTTCGCGGGGACCTTGGCCGAGCGAGTGTTAAAATCTCGACAATAGTTAGTTAGAGGGAGGCTTCATGCAGCAGTCCTACGGAAGCTTTGGGGATTTGTGCACGGCGCACACGCTCGGACTTTTGATCTGTCAGACCCATCGTGCGAAGAGTTCGGCTGTGTGAAATCACACATACATCAGCTAGCATCGGGAACGAGACAGCATGAACAAGCCAATCATCCTAAGATGGGCTTCCGCTGGGCAGCGTTTGTAGCTGCACAATATGCAAAGTAGGGCGGCGGGAACCTAGGCGAGAAGTCTTTCTTACGCATACTCTCACCGCCCCATTGTTTGTTTCGGCAGCAGCGTTCACCATCGTGAAATTCTGCAATCAATGCAGCTTCAAGCATCTCCAGCATCCCCAGCAGCTCTGGCCGGCATACCTTGTGCAGCACTAGAAAGGACTGGAAGTTCAGATCGAAATAGCTTTGGCTTCGCCGAACAGGATCGGACGTGAGACCAATCTTGAACACACACAGAGCAGTGCCCCCATGCTTCCGCCGGAGTGCGTTAATCTCCTCAACGCAATGCCACAGAATCTTCGAAGCCAGAGTGGTTTCGGCAAGCAACTTCTCATCCAGGTGCGACTCTACTACATGCTGCGAGGTGGGGGTGTCAGGTACTCGAGTGCTTGCAGAAGCCGGCGAAGTTTGAGTATCCATGCTCATGTCGAGATCCGACTGGTATTGCTGCATCTCATCGTCTTCGGAATCACTCCAAGGGAATATGCGCAGTTTTGTACTCGTACCAGTCGCCATAAAGAGACACACAGCAGGTCATGCTACCTCTTGTGCTGCATACAGCTGATGGGTTGCATGCATATTAGCAGCGTGGAACACGAAGCACCATGCAGGTGATGCCAGACATGATGCGGATCGAACTATCACTTGGCTCTGCTGGGGCCCCAGCACCCTTTCCATATCTGACAGCGATGAGAAGGACTTGCTCGCTGACGTTCGGATTGTCATAGCTGCCTGACAGGCTGTTGTTCAAGGGTGACAATTACCGAACTGTTTGGTCGATCGGAAGGATATCAGGCATGAAGGCAGTGTGCAAGGACTCTCAGACGAGAGGAATAGCAGGGCTTTTGTATCGTTAGACCCGGGCTAGGTGTTGCTCAGGTTTGTGCTTCAGTTCCATCAAAGAACGACAAAATCAAGGGGATGCCTCCCTATCTGCAAACGGACGTTTAGCTCAACCTGAGAACTTGAGAAGCCTTTCAATCTAGAACCCTCTATAGCTCGTGATTGCTGGAGTCCGGGATTTCCCACCCCAATTCATAGGAGAGCTAGAATTTACAAGCTAGGATATATACATCTTATGCAACCTAATTAGCAGCTTGTCTCTCGCGGCTGTAATACTAGCCATCCCGGAAGCAATGCCATTTAACAGATTCACGCAGCTCGCTCGTCATGCCGCTGGAACCTGTTTCTTGTTCGATGAAACACGGAGGCCTAAAGGGCACGGACCTTGAGCCGTGCACACCTAGAAGGCCTCAGCAGCCACTAATGCGAAGGTATGAAAGCACCCCCCAAAACAATCCACGGTCAGAGGAGCCTATAATTTGCGAGTGTAGCTTTAGCTTTATTCTTGATGCACAAAACGGAGCTCATACTGTCCTCTGGCTGCAGAGACCTGGAATGCAAGCCTCGTTTGCATTCGTGGTACGTGAAACAGCTTCTGAAAGGCATCCTATGGCGCGCTGGCTTCCATAGATGCGACATAAGCCCCTGTATGCCCACAACACATCGATTCCTTCGCACGCAAGCACCATGCATGTAGATCCACATGGATAACATGTTGTGTCTGGTACAAATTACGAAGCACAAAACCCTGGCTTTGGATGCTACGTAGCCCTATTGCTCGCACGAACACACATGCATGCAGGAATCATATGTGCCCATGGCATCCCACAGCTTCTGTAGCTGCAGCGAAGCCCCAAAATCAAAACCGTCGCCGAGACGGGAGCTCAGCTTTCTTTCTTCGCCGCCTTGCGCGCCCTGGAGAGCATTGACCTCGGACACAAGACAGTACGGATTCTGGACCCTATTTAGGATTTCAGCTCTAGGCAGCTACTTGTAAGCAGGGTTTATGCTAGTGGAGGGCTTGGGTCAATCTAGCCTGAGTCTGAGTGAGATCCTATCGTGAGTGCTGGGTCAAAAAAATTTTTTGTTTAAGAGTTTAAGGCATCTAGTCTGCAAGACCAATGCATGCGTTCGAATCCAATACACCGGGTTTAGGGTTTATATAGGGCTTGGGGATTTTGGGGTTTAAGCTTTATAAGACCCTATACAAACTCGATCATTACCTCCTTATACCTCGATCTCCAACCCTTTGCTCAAAAGTTTCCCGGGAAGACTATGATAGATGCCCTGCAGGAAAGCAAGAAATAGACTTAAGTCGGCTAAATCCTATACAAGCACTTCGAACCTCTTGAACCCTATAAGCCTCGGCCCTTGACCTTAAAACCATAAACCGCCGCCCACACCACACACCTAAGTTCAGGCCCAATACACAGCAGCTCCGCAGATCCCTCGACTCGATTGTGAGTTCAGAAAAATAAAACCCAAGATCGTCGAAACCCTGGAACCCAAAAGCCCTGCGTAGCACCTTGTAAGTTCCAAGATTCCACGCCCATGCACTCCCTCACCCCCCAATATCGACTGGACTAGAGGCTTGTTGGAAGCCTCCAGAGCTGAAGATTTGGCCATCCTGGGGATTTTGCTTCTGCAGACCATACGACTCTTCCATGCAGGTATGGACCGTATATATACAGATTCGCAACGTGCATCCGCCAGGAAAGTCTGTGCATCGAGTCCATTATACTACGTAGGATTGCATGCGTGCACGATTATCTTGGATCGCATACTGATCGACTTATGCCTAGACTGCCTGAAGTTAACGGCAAGATTCAGCTTCTGAGCCTTCACGAAGAAGGCTTTGCACTCGGCCTGAAGCCTTAGTTGCCAGCCGTTCAATTGGGTTTATGGTCGGTTACGGTTCTTCTGTAGGGCAGTACTATAGTTGGTCAGGTTTTATCAAGCAAAAGTGCAGCAGTACGGCTCTTTCTAAGGTTGCATCAAACAGAACTGATCGAGCTTGCAACAGCCAAACATCCCCAACATCTGCAGCCCAATAACTTCTCACCATAGCCGCCTGCACCCCCTTCAGCCTTGGCCTCGGCCATCTCTTCATAGAGATTCTCATATTCCTTAAGCATGGCATCCATCTTCTTGAGTTGCCCGAGTGAGGCGAGGCGTTGCTTGGTGCATCGCAGCAACATATCAGTCGGGCTCTCGAGATGTTTTGTAATTCATATGACAAGTTGTGCTAGGGCACGGAGCTGCAGCAGCGCCTGACGTCTTGACCTTGTCCGTGAAAGCCTCCAGGGAGTTCTTGCCCTTCAGCACGGCCTTCATGTACTCTTTCATTTGCGAAGCAACCTCAAAGCATTGTGTTTAGCAATCAAGAGTTGAATTGATGCTTCTGTGAGCTTGTTTGATGGTAGCTTGCAAGAATTTGTGTTTGTCTGAAATGACGACCCAGTCCGAGGAGCACTTTTATGCTGATCACCCTCAAGATCCTTCGTGTTGTTGTGAATCATGTCGTCATCATCAGAGAAAGAGAAACCATCAAGGTGAACCCCCGGCTTGAAGTTCAAGTCGGTGCCGCCTTCGCCCGAGTACCGCTTCTCGTGCTCCAGCATCTCCATGTCTTCTTTTGTCAGGGTTCCAGATGTTCTCGTATTGACCCAATACTCGATTGTCTCATCATCGTACTCACAGGTTCTCGGCTTGGGCGGATGTGGCGTTATGATTCAGGATCGTCGGGTTGAATGAGTTGAAGGGGATGATGTGAACTCGACAGCTTAATTAATGTGCACTACCGAATGCACAGTCTAATACAGAGCACCCAGAAACCCTATCTACGCTAGAGGCCCCTATACTACATACGTGCCCTTCTCCCAAACGGGTGCCGAAAAACCTGACTGAACTTATCTTCCGAGAACAACACAAAAGTGTAGTGCCCTCTGTAGCCTGATACCTTCCAGGGCCCACTATAAACACGCATGGAACATATAGACTATAGGCTTCGGCCCCTTGGGTTCCATACCCTTGCAAAGTGCATACATGATGCATGCAGAAACAAAATTTGTCCCAAAGAACATTGATTGGTTCCAGTGGTTCTCATTTGGAGGGTTAGCGGCTTTCTAGGGCTGCACAATGCAATAGATCGATCGATTATGTTCACGAGTTTTAGAGGGCTATGTTTTGCTTAGGGATTAATCAAGTGGCCGCAGCAGTCCTTTCTTCTCGGCCCAGGCCACGATTTTCTCGACGCGGGACCTCGGCGTCGGTTTCGAGGGAGATGGTTGTGCGAGGTCCGCGGGAGCAGTCGATGATACATATAGTATACGATCTAGCTTGCTTGCAAGTGGCTGCGAGTAGCCCAACTCGCTTTTCATGTCTTCTTTACTGTAGAAGCCGCCTTTCACTTCGAGCTTCTTGCTTCTGGTCGTACGATTCAGGATCAGGACGGATTCCATGAAGACGGCCTGGGGATAATCGTTGTAGAGCTAGATAGTATAACATCCAAAAAGGACAGAAGCTAAATTCCAGGCTGAAATGTTTGGGCCCATCCCTGCCTTGACACCTCCAGCCTTTGCCCACATGCGGAACAAATTGTCCCGGCCCTTCCCGGCGTCTTTCCACATCTCGAAGATGTTGTCTGGCACTTCCAGTTTCCCCGAACCCCGTTTTGGGGTGACAATCCGCCTCACCTTCTCCTTCTCAAGCTTGCTAAGGTCGCTAAAGTTTAGCACTTTCGGGGCTTCATCATCCGAAGCGGGGTCTTCGGCATCAGCAGTCTCAGCCGTGGCCGGTTTCGGGGTTTTCGTTGGTGTCTCGTGCTGGCGCTTGGAGCCTCGGGCACTAGGGCTCTTAAGAACCTGAGCTTCTGGAGCTAGCTTCTGCGCCGCAGGCTCAGAGGGCGCTGGCTTCTGATCCGGCGCAGGCTTCTGATTCGGCGGAGGCTGCTGGGCTTCCTGCGGTATGGGTGCCGAATCACTTTCACAATATGTGCACGCATGTACTGCACACAGCAGCTGATCATGAAGCCAGACGTGTTCCGAGCATCCTTGTGTCTCGATCGTTAGTTGCCGACATGTATGCACATGTGCAATCCTAAACATAGTCCCTTAAGTCCTGCTTCAGCCTTTGAATCTCATCCTGCTGGGCGGTGACGGCTGCACTGAGCAGCTGCATCTTCGCCAGCAGCTCCTGCGTTGAATGGAACAGCTAGGAAGTATTTCGATCTCTCATATAGGGTTTGTGTTTTGGGAAGATCCGTCCTTCTGAAGCATCGGCTCTTGCTCGGGTGTCGAGGTAGGCGACATGGATGGAATAGATGGGCGCGGGCTTGGGGTTGCTGCACCCGGAGTAACTCCCGGCTCCCGCTTCACCTTATTTCATTCATGGATTGACAAAAATTAAGCGCTAAATATGCTTTAAGCGCACAAGGCTTCTAAGGTTTATATATAGGCCGGCCTCTAGGGTTTGGAATTGCAGCTCTATACATCATCAATAGGGCAGCGTGGTTGTCGTGTTGCACGGACCCAAGATTGACATCACTGTCCGGGCGATATTACAGTAGATGGACCGAATGGAATGGTGAGCTAGGTACTGTAGCCCGAACTTCAGTACTTTTTATAAAGAAGCTGAATTGCAGTGGCAACCGACTGACTCAAGAATACATTGGAGACAGCTAACTCAAGCATTGAGGACTCGATCCACCTGTCGATCATATTACATAAACCCAGCCACAGGATGCGGCAGCCGCTGCATCTGGGCGACCTGCGTCTCTGTACCCGGCTCGGTCTTGACGTCCGATTGAGCAATCTCCAGGGCTTGCTGCAAGTCCTGTCGAAAATCACAATCATTATCTGTAGCAGGGCTTATTCATGCTTGGGTTTAGGGTTTAGGGTTTATATAGGGTTGAGCCTCAAAGGGGGGTTGGGGAGGGGGGGGCACGTGGGCGCAGGTTGCTTACGTTCCTAGATTCGTGGGCGCAGGTTGCTTACGTTCCTAGATTCGGGTGGGCACGGGGGAGGGGGGGGGGGGCGGGGTGGGGGGCAGGGCCGGGCGGTTTGTCGAAGCTAGGCAGCTAGGCGGCTCTAGGCATGTCAAAAACCGCGGTGTCCTGAGCTACGCTGCGGAGCTCGTCAACATCGTTGCTGGACGCAGCACGAAGAAGAAACGACAACCCTGAGGCAAGCGACTCCGCACTGTGCTGGTTCCTGCGCAAAGCCATGGCGAAGAAGCGGAAACCTACGCGGCCACGCGTTCAGCGCACAAACCTAGCGCAAAATGAGGCCCAAATCTGAAACAGTTGTTGCGTGCCAAAGCGTGGGTGTTGCGTGCCAAAACGTGGTTGTTTGGATTTTGCAAAATTGCGTGTTTCTTGCACAATCACGTGAAACGGAAAAAAACACGCCAAAGCTGAGCCACAAGTTGCCTGGAGTGCGTCAGTCTCCTGCCGCCCTAGCTTGCAATGCCCAAAGACTAGACCTGAAGTACGTAGCCAGTCCCTTCAACCTCGCAGCCCTGAAGCCCCGCAGCCCTGAAGCCAAACTTCTTCAAGAATAACTGAAGGCCACGGCCCCGCAAGCCGGGGCAACCCTAAAACCCTGAAGCCCGCGACCCTAGAAACCTGAAGCCCGCAGCCCCTAAAACCCGAAGCCCTGGAAACCTGAAGCCCGCAGCCCCTAAAACCCGAAGCCCTGGAAACCTGAAGCCCGCAGCCCCTAAAACCCGAAGCCCTGGAACCCTGAAGCCCGCAGCCCCTAAAACCCGAAGCCCTGGAAACCTGAAGCCCGCAGCCCCTAAAGCCCGAAGCCCGCAGCCCCTAAAACCCGCAACCCTAAAGCCTGAAGCGCGCAGCCCCTAAAACCCGCAGCCCTGGACACCTAGCCGAAGCCTAAACCGTGAAGCCTGAAGCCCGCAACCCTGGGTACCTGAATCCCGCAACCCTGAAAACCTGAACCCCAACCCCCCCCCAACCCTGGAAACCTGAAGCCCGCGAAGCTAGAAACCTGAAGCCGAAACCCCAAACCCCGCAGCGGCCGAAACCTGAAGCCCGTAGCCCTCCAAACCAGAACCCCGCAATAATGGAAACCTGAAGCCCGCAGCCCTAAAGCCCGCAGACCTAGGCAAACCCGCAACCCACAGCTCTGCATGGAAACTTCTATACAGCCCAAGACAACGGCCGTGCCACAGCTCTCCATAACTAAGCCCCCAACCCTCCCAAGCTGAAGCCCGATAGGCCGCAAGCAAAAACCCGCAGCCCTGAAAACCCGAAGCAGGTAGCCCTCCAAAACTAAAGCCCCCGAAACCTGAACCCCGCAAAAGCGCACCACAAAACCGTTTAACCTAGGCACACGCAAGCCTGCATGCGAGTGTCCTCGGCTTAGTTCAGACCCCTGTGGCTAATACGTTATGATGGAACCCACATAGACAACGTAGTCACTTAATTCCTCGTCAACCAATTAACTATAGCTAGCCTTGTAGAGCCCTTTAGGAAAAGCCTCGCCCCAGCTTCTGTTCGACCAGCAGCCGTCGTTGTAAAGATGCAGCTGCATATCCCATATGAAGTTTAATTGCAACAGCAACACAGCTAATTAAATGACCATTTGCTTCGTTGTGGCACACAGTTCCCCGCAGGAGCCTCCTGGATCCCGAGCCTACATAGGGGCTATGTTGTTAACTTAGAGGGGCTCGAATAGTATAGGCCGGGGTTATAGAGATCTCGAGGAGCTACAAGTTTTAGGGTGGGTTTGGGTTTGCCGGGTTCATAGGGTACAGGGTTTTTGGGTTTGGGCGTTCATAAGGCGGTTTTGGGTTGGGGTTTATTGTGCAGCAGGTTCTGGTATGCATGAGCATACATAGTATGTGGCTTAGGGCTTTAGGGGTTTAGG